TGCATTTGCAGGGGACTATTTTCAACAGCGGAATAAACCACATTTGGTGCTCCAGCGAGTATTTGTGGCGGAAGGACGGTGTGTAAAAATAAACCTGTGTGTGTGGTAATGAAGGAACAATAAAGGCGCTCTGTGGCACAGAGGAATAAGATGCACACAATGCTTGTTAGAAGGATACATTCAGTGTTGGTTTTGGTCTTTTCATGGGATTTGTTGACAACAGGAAAACTCAAAAACAAGACTTCTGCTTTAAATACAGGATGAAATGGGGAAATAATTAATGAAGGAATATAAACTTTGTCCCTGTGGTTTTCCAGGAAATTCCCTTTTGGGTGAAATAGTGAAGAATCTTTCCAAGATGGCCGTCCCAGACCCGAAACAGAGACTGAAATTTATGATGCTGTCAGCGGTGAGCTAGTTAACAATACAATTACTGTTATTTTTTTTTATTTTTTTTACAGAGCCAGGCTAGCTGTTGCCCCTGTTTCTAGTCTTTATGTTAAGCTGAGCTCATCTCCTGGCTGTAACTCTATATTTAACACACAGACACGAGAGTGGTATCTGTCTTCTCATGCAAATCTCGACAAGAAAGGAAGTAAGATTATTTCTTTTAAAGTGTGTATGTGTGTCTGTTTAACAGCATGACACTACTGTAGCTGCTCTCCAGGCCAGCTTGAATGTGTTCAATGGAAAACAGCCGCCGTATGCCTCCTGCCAAATATTTGAACTGTACCGGGATGAAAACGGGTAACACACACACACATACACACACACACACACACACTGTAGACACTCACTCAAACATTATACTGACACACAGTCTCCATGTGATATTGAGGAGCTCAAACCTGAAAGAAAGGAAAGAGATCTGCTAAATATAATAAATGGACGAGACCTCGGTTGTGTTGAATTTCAAAATAAGATTCAGCTGAGTCAGAAATACAAACATGTATAAAGCAGTTTGTTTAAAATGTATACTATAAGGCTCCAGATAATGTGTTAATAATATTGTTAAAGTTGTGACATTTAACTGACTCTCTCTCTTTCTGTGTCCATCCAGCTCTGCTTCGGTGTCGCTGTTTTACCGGAATGACAGCACAGTGGAGCCGTACCCTCTGCAGCTACCAGGCTGCTCCCTCGACTGCCCCCTAAATGAGTTTGTGAAGATTACAAAGTCCTCGATTTCAGAAGACAGGAAGAAGGAGTGTCAGGTTCCTTCAGAAGGGAGAGATACAGGTGAACTTTTCAAACACACACTCACTAAAAAAGACTGATAAAATTAATTGTTCCACCACTGATCCTTTATTTTGTCTTTCCGTCTTCAGAAGTGATCATCAGCCTGGCGGTGTCCGGCTGTCTGCTCCTTCTCCTCATCGCCCTCCTCCTCGGCGTTATTTGCTGGCAGAAGGAGCCAATGAGCAACCGGGGATACCACCACGTGATTAACCAGGAAGTCGGAGAGGAATCCTGACAGAAGCACCAACTCCTGCTGCGGAGATCTACAAACCTCGCTGAGTCTTGGGACAGCAGCGATGACGATGAACTGTAAAACTCCTGAGAGACCTGTTTGATGTTCAGTTCTGGACCCACAATGAGTAGATTTTATTTTTTATTTTCAAACAGCGAGTTTTTATCCAAAATGACCCGTTCCTGTCGGGTCAGAGGGAAAAAGTTAAGATTTTTAAGACTCTTTTAAAACCAGTTTCATCATCATTTACATGAGTAGTGATGAGTGAGACATTGTTAAAGGGACCAGGACTGATTTCTACATTAGCTGATCTCTAATCAGCCAAATGAGTTTATAATTTCAACAAATATGACCCAGATCTCTGCTCGGAAAGACACTGTGTTTGTTGTTCAGTCTGGGTTTGTTTAACGCTGCGTTTTGTGACTTGAACGGCTGCAGAAAAGTTTGGAAAGACAAACATAGTTGTGATTTTAAATAATATAATTATGGTCTGGAAACATGATGGGGAAATGATGAGTTGTTGGTTATCTCATTTCAAATTCTTTAACAGACAAATTCTTATTTTTTAGTGTTTTGCATAATGTCTTTCCCCCTTGGACTTTTCTTAAAAACATGTAGCACAAAAAAAACTTTATCTTAATTATCTAAGAATGTTTCGGTTCTAAATCTCAGCGCAAACTGTTTCTGTTTCCTTCATGTAACAAGATCAGTTTGTGTACAGTATGTGTGTGTCGGCTCATCTGTGTTCTCGTGTGTGTGTGTGTCGACTCTGAGGCCTAATGACCGAGATGCCTTAAATATTTATATAATAATGAGATTTTTTGTTCTGACGTAACCCGTAACATGTATTTTTGTAGGATTCAAAATTCTTTTGATTTTAACTTCTTCAAGCATGTGCGTTTGATTTATCAGCAGCAGGATGGGGTTGAGCCGGACCGCGAGCATCCAGCACCTAATATCCTCTAGCAAGACACTTAAGCACCAGCTGACCTTTGACCTTTTCACCTCTTGTAGAGGGAAAACAAGTGAAATAGATGACTTTCTTTGTTTGGTGTGTCACAAGAATCAGATCAGTTTACTGTGGATGTCTGGGAACTGGAAATCTTTACACTT